TATAAGGAAGTAAAGCCTATGTGAGCAATTAAATACTTTATTAATAAACACACTTCTATTATACATACTTAATACTTGATTATTGACTTGATTATCACGATGGTTTCCCATGGAAATCATCGTGATTACCGCTATGGGGAATAACAACTTGATTACTAACAATCCCTTCCCCCTAACAATGGGGTTATTGGACCCCATCACTAACAATTCCTTTCATTCATCCATCGTGGTGTAACGACGCTATGGTTACCAAAAGGTACAGCGTATGTTCATGGCAATAGGGCCACTTTTTAGGGAGATTTCTTTAATAATTTATTAATTATTTTCCGAAACTGTTGAACTGTTTCTTAAAACATGAAAATGCATTAACAATACCTCTTGTACTATTGACGAAGCTGTATACATTGGCGCTGGTATAGGATGTTGAACTAGGATTGACGAAGAATTATCCTTTATGAATAATTGAATTTTAAAATATCTACGTAGATTATTATAATAAAATATTGATGACGTGTAGGGTCGTCGACCTCGCCCACACTGTTGACTCAATCGCTTAACATAACTTATTGTACCATATCCGTATGACCTTCGAACGTACAAAAACTGTATTGAACACTATTTGCGCCTCATCTCAATATCGTTGATAACTGATTGCAACATACTGTAACAAAATAACGTAATATCATTGCTAGAATCTGGATCTTAAATAAATAATTATTATTTTTTTGTTTTTATTTAAGTAAACTTAATTATGAGTATTTTATTCATTTATTTTTAGGAAAACATACAGCGTGATTCAATCAATACATAGACAAATTACATTAATGTTGAGCCATAAATAGTTTTTACATTTGAGTAATTACACAATCGGTTTTTATATAGGAAAAAAATTGTGAATAATCTTAAAATTTAAATTATCTTAAAATAAAAATTTTCAATTGACTTCAAGAAAAGGAAGGTTTTCAAATTCGGTTGTATTTTTTTTTATTTGGTAAAAAATTTTTGGTTGGACTCATTAAAAACTAAAAAAATAAAAATAGAATTTTTCATTCAATAACACTAAATTGAAGAACAGCTGCGAGTGTACTTAGACATACAAGGAAGTAGATATATATAGTCGAGGAATATATTATAATTTATTGAGAGAATTGTTTATGTTCCACATTTCTCCGTAGCGTACATTACAGACAGCGTGAGGAAATTTGGCATGACCAGAACCGGAGGCGTGGGCGACGAATATAAATACACATCGCACTATTAAAATTAAGGAAAATCGTCGAGTCTTGTACACGTACTCACTCTCTCTACCTATCCAAATATTTAGTAAATTAGTTACTACCATAGACAAAATATTTTCTATGGTATGATTATATGGTTTACCAGTGGAAAGCTTTGTACAAAAGTCGTTTGCTTGGACACCTCTGTCCCATTCGTGTTTACAGGTTTACTAGATACAGAGGAATAACATCTGAGGTCTCTGTACCCTGTAAATTCACGCCATATCCCACCCTTCAAACCGAAACACAGTCATGCAAACACAACTGCTTCACGGTTGAAACACGAATGGGACAGAGGTACCCAAGCAATCGACTTTTGTACAAAGTCGCCCTCTGGTAAGGTACTAATAAATTATAATGAATAATATTATAAATTTTAATTAGTTATTATTACGTGCAAGTTACAAATGGTTAAAAATACAACACACTACAGGTAAATATGATTTTTGTACATGGCAAGTTATTTATAATATTTAATATTAATAATTAATTATAAAAGATTAAGATTATATTTAAATTTACATAATATGTCAATTTATTATGGTCCTTTGAAATGTAATGCTGGAGAAGGATGGAGAAGATTAGCTGGAGGGATCGAATTAGCAATGAGGAGGTCCTACTTAGGATTAAGGAAAAAAGACAAATTATTAGAACTATTGAGGACAGAAGGGTAAAAATGTTGGGACACTTGATACGACACGACGAACTTATGAACATTGTAATAGAAGGTAATATAGAAGGAAGGAGGGGAAGAGGGAGACCGAGACATAGTTACATCAGGCAGATCAAGGAAGGAGTTGGTGTCGTGTCGTATCAAGAGGCGAAGAGACTCGCTGAAAATCGTAATGAGTGGCAAGAGCTCCACCGACAAGAGCGCAGCCCTTAAATAGGATAGATAATGATCCATATCGTGCAACAATAAATTAAAATGTTAGATTAAAAGATAGATTAAAAAAAACCCTCAGAATAGACCTCATTGTATCTTACATTACCCTGCTTGTTGCTATAAAGTGAACATACGACCACAGAATTGTAACAGTAAATAAAACTAATTTACTGGCATAATTTTGTTATATCGTTGCACCGTGCTAAGGCCTTTGTCAAACAATATCGGTCATAGAATCGAGGATATTGAGACTCATTAACGTTGTAAATGTAAACTAGAATTAGTTTACCCGGTATTTGTTATCTATCTGTGTCGTGTAGTGACCCAAACCAACAAATAACATGTAAATTATCTCATGTATATACCTCAGAAATTTCAATACGTTTCTTCTGATGGGGGAAAGGATTGTTAGTAATGGGGACATTAATTCCTATTATACCCTATCAGGTCGATTTCCACGCGATTCCCCCTGGAAACTATCATGACTAATTTATCGTTGAATTCGTCACGACGGACTAACTGGCCTGCTTTTTCATCCTCACCTATCACCTCTCACTGGTGCCCCGCCAGTGTGTACCGATAACGCAGGCGGGTTTACCATTCCCATTTTCACCCATTAAAAAAAACACTTTACTTCTTAAATCGATTTACACATAATTTTATTAGATTAACCGAAAGCAATCTCTTGTTCGTGTTATTTTTTTATTTTATTTCAATGCCGAAGATATCACACACACAGTTAAATACACACACAGTCAAACACGTTTGAAAACAAACTACGTATATTTATTATACTTACGTAACAAAAAATAACACATTTTTTTTGCGTGAAAATGGAATGGTAACCCCACCTGTGCTAACGGGATACGCTGGCGGAGCACCAGTGAAGGGTGATAGATGAGAACGAAAACAGGCCAGTTAGCCTATCATGATGAATTCATCAGGAATTAACCATGACAGTTTCCAGGGGGAACCGCGAGGAGGTCGACCTGGTTGGGTATATTGCTAGCAATGGGATTCTCAGTCTCCATCACTAACAATCCCTTTACCCCCTAAAAATGACACAGTTGATGTCTATTTTCCAAAAAAAAGAAGAAATCGTATAAAATCTAAAATTTGAACTTGAGATCTTTAGAAATTTTTATATAAGTAATAAATCATTGGACAACCACACCCTTACTAAGTTATTAAGTAGAACAATGGGTATGTAAGTGTAAATTACTTGATGTAATTATCATTAATAATTGATGTAATTATTACACGTTGTTTGTAAAAAAAAAATAACAAGTATAGAACTACATCGAAAATAGGTAGAGACACTTAAACAGAAAAGTTATGAGTTAGAATATGACAGTAGAAAAAAATTTACAAAAATCAATTTAAATTAATAGATTTTTTTTGATGGGTGAAAATGGTATGGTAACCCCGCCTGCGCTAATGGGATACGCTGGCGGAACACCAGTGAAGGGTGATAGATGAGAATGAAAACAGGCCAGTTAGCCCATCATGATGAATTCACCAGGAATTAGCCATGATAGTTTCCAGGGAGAACCGCGAAGGGGTCGACCTGGTTGGGTATATTGCTAGCAATAGGATTCTCAGTCTCTATTACTAACAATCCCTTTCCCCCCATTAATAGATATTTATTATCAGACAAAATTATTTAATTATAACAGGAAATAGTGGAAGGCTCGCCCCTTGTCATGTTAGATTCTTACATGCTCGGCCAAAAACGTGGTATTGTCTTAGGTATTGTCGAATGTTACGTTTACCACAACGGGTGCACGATAAAGAAATATGGCCGATTCAGTTAGAATTAATTTTTGCCTTTTTTTTTGAGAGTATGTCACGCTGGGCAATTGCCCTCCTTTCTTTAGAAATCCGGTAAAAATAAACTATCAATACGTTTCAAATTTCTGTAGGTATTAAAAAATTAAAATAGATACGCAAGGTCCTATATGTAACGTACAAACATAGAAATAAGGTACAGAGGAATAACACCTGAGTCCTCAGGAATGGCAATACATGAGGGTATCATGGGCGAAACAGTATACGCTGTTATGTCCATGCTACTGCTCATGTGTATAGGCGACAGTTACCACTTTCCATCAGGTGGGCCGTCAGCTTGTTTGCCATTCTAAGTGGCATAAAAAAAAACCTATAATAAAGGTAAATGGACAGACGGACTAACACGAGGGATTTTCCGAAAGACTAATTATGTTAAACATACAATGTAGATCAAAACTAAAATGTAATAAAAAGTACTCAAGAATGCCTAATGACCATTTTAATTGAAGTAATTATCAATTATAATTATAAGGAATCGAGTGTACACTCATTCAGAAATTGGTTTTCCCCAACGCAACGGGCAATGACGCGGCGACGTTACCACATGCAAGGTTGCGTCTCCATTTACTATCTATTCTGAAAATACGACATTGCAAAAGATGATACGGAGCTATGTATTATAAAAATAAAATTAAGCTCAGTTATTAAAAGGAACCAGCCGTGTGAAGTGGCCCACCTTTTCCTTTCTAGTTCTTATTTTATACCACTGAGTTGGCAAACAAGCATACGGCCCACCTGATGGTAAGCGGTTACCGTAGCCTATGAACGCCTGCAATGCCAGAGGTATTACGGGCGCGTTGCGTGTCGTAAGAGAATTTAATAATCGAGGAATCGGCAACAAAGTTCCTCTTAAAACATATGCCACCTGCCAAGCGTGGCAACTGCTGGCAATAAAATATCAGGTGTTAAAGTCCTAGATAATTATATATCTACATATAGTACTTATAAATAATTTTCAATTTATTGTTAAATTATTAATCTTGTTCCAGCATACTCCAAATACGCTTCACAAGAGCGAAGTGGAATCGAGTCATCCGAGACTACCGTTATTAGAACCGGACAAAGACAAAACAAAACCACCCATTGCAGGTAATCTCACCATTTTTATGCTTCAATTCATTTCAATAATTTTATTGAATTTATTTATATAAATGAAGCAAAACACATAACGATTTATTTTTAATAATGATAATGGAATTGTAACCCCACCCGCGATATCGGTATACACCGGCGAGGCACCAGTGAAGGATGATAGGTGAGCATGAAGTAGGTCACTTAGCCCATCGTGACGAATTCAACAAGAATTGTTCACGATGGTTTCCAGTAGGAACCACGTGGAGGTCAACCTTGCTAGCAATGGGGCTGTCAAACTCCATTGCTAACAACCCCCCCCCCCCCCAATATATCACGATTGTAAAATATAAACATAGCGGCCATAATAATAAAAAATGCTGTATAGTCCCGGCATAGAATGGGCCAGCCCTTCCTTTCCCGTGGGTGTTGTAAGAAGCGACTAAGAGAGGGTGAGGGATAGACAGCAGCGACTCTCTTAAATCATCACCAAAACCTAACTGCAGTTACCAATCCGTCTACCAAGCGTGGTAACTACTGGCAATACCTCCCAAGGGGGAGGCTTATGTTCAGCAGTGAACGGTTAAGGGCTGATATGATGATGGTGATGATGATAATATTATAAATACTATCGTTTATAATGATGGATAGGTATATGTTTGTTACTCTATCACGAAAAAACTACTAAACTAGCATTTAAATGAAATTTGATTCACAGGTAGCTTATATCCTAACTTAGCATATAGAATACTTTATATACTTACTGATGCACGCGAGCAAAGCCGTGGGATAAAGCTAGTGAATACATGATATCAATTGACACTTGACGAAGATTTCTAGACAATTAAAAATATTACATTTTCTGCTTTCCACAGAGTCCGAATTTGATGATATCGACGATGAGAGACCCGTGAATAATGGTCCATACCCTGGAATAGACGACGGCCTGCTCGATCCTGGGGACACAAAAACAGAAGTACCAAACGAAGGTAACGTTCACCCAACACACGTATGGTTGCCAGTTGCAATTTTTTGTCAATATTTTTTTTCCAAATTAATAATTTCGTTTACCTTTAACCAATCACAAACTTGTGTTAGAATCTACTACACAGTAATCAATAAACAAATCATGTATATTATTTTGAATTTACATTCAACTATACGATTTACAAATACCAAAATTTCTCCATACTCATTTCCATTTTCTCCAAAAATAACTTGAACAATTTAATTTCTTCAAAATTTCGCAAAGACAAAAATTTTTACCCAAAAAATTGACAAAGAGATTATTAAAACTTCGGATTATTAAGTTGCTAACCCGCTTGCCAAACGTGGTAACTACTGACAGAACCTTCATGAGGGAGGCCTATGTTCAGCAGTGAACAATCAACGGCTAATATCATAATACAATCTGTCATTTAATCTGACATTTTTCTCTAGCATCCTAATGTACTCGAGTACATCTTAATGACAACTAGAAATTCCAATAAAATGTAAGACTCGTGTTCGCGTCACAGTCGCTCATGACTAAGGATTACGAATTGATTCCAAAACTAGTCGAGTTTTTTTTTATCTAATTACACGTAAGTTAAACTTACCAGTTGTTACATTAAGATATTATATATGCTTATGAAACTTTTAACAATAAAAATGTAAGCCGATTAAACAGTTAGATTATTTAGCCCTTTGACGGAGATTAAGAGGGCAAGTACATTACTAGCAAAAGGGTTGTTAAATGAATTATTAATCAAGATGAATCTTCTCTCCCAAACGACCAGGTCAAGTCTTAGACCTTCTTTCTTATGCTATGCATCATAATTCTTTCGATCTCCTTATCAAAAGTCATTACAGTATATTTTCGTCTTTACTTTTGGGTCTCGGCCATTTCAAGGAACAATACTCGCATATTGTCCACTGTTTATTCATAAAACCTTATCATTTGTTGACTGCGCGATGTTGACCGCCCTTTTATTATGTACCAATTTTAACATTGATAATGACCACAGCATGTCCATTGTGGTTATTATCAAAATAAAACACGTGTCGCTTGAAAGTCGCAATACATTTATTAACATATATCTTTCTTGGTAGCTTAAAAATCCAAAGACTTGGACTTCAACTTTTGTGTAAACAGAGCGAACTTTTTTCTCCGTTGAAACAACTTTCTCTATTCGGCAGCATATTAACAGAAGAATGCGTTGTAAGAGTATATAGAATTAAATAATTATAATTCATATTATTGTTTAATATAGGTATATTGTAGATTGATAGGTGCCTTAAATATCCCAATCCTCCCCATGTGACAAAAACCAACTCTGCATTCATGCACATTATTGTCACATTTGTTTTAGTATAAATACTTATTTTTAATTTGAATTAAAACCTTTATGGGATAGGAATAAAGGGAAAACACTAAACTTCTATAATAACATGCCCTAATGTGATTTTCTTAGATTATATAGATAGAACTTCGAGTTCTCAAAAACGGGTCAACATTTTGTCAGCTAATTGTCAAATTAGACGATACGTTTTTTTTTTTATTGTTCTATATACTTACGCACATAATGTATCTTGACGTATCTATATTTAATTATTTAATAAATAAAATGAGCTTTTACGCATTAAAAAGATGCAAAAAATATAAGACAAATAAATATAGAAGTTATAAAGGAATCGCTCATAACTATTTATCACGCCAAATTGTATAAAAAAGTTGACCCGCTTTTCTCGAAACATTTGTATGGAGACACTCTAATTATATAATCTAAGGTGATTTCCTTCTGTCCAGGTGATGACCACCGTGCAGAGGACGGCTCACACGAGACCCACGACGACGGCGTCGGTACAGACGATGGTAAACGGTGGCTTTTCGGTCATGATGAGGCTGACCATATATACGGTGATTTTACTAATGCACATAGATGTAGAATTTATAACTTCATAAGATCACACGAGAATCAATCAAATGTTTGAATTTTTAAAAGTTAGTTTTTTGATTGCGTCAATTTATTATCTAGAATTGTATTTTGGGCTGAGTGTATTGAGGAAAACCTGACTACCTAGACATTAATTAACGTACAAAATCTCAAGGACTCTTGTAGTCATCTGTAATTTACCTATTCACCGTTAGTGTAATAAAACCCAAACTTCTTTTTTTTTATATGTTTGTTTAAAACGGAATTATCAAATTTACTATTAAATAGAACGGAATAATGGTAAAAATGTAACAAAACCAATTTGTTAAAGTGAATTTTATATTTTTTTTCTACGCTTTAAAACTTTTAAGAATTATCATTAAAAAAAAAAATTTCTGAAGATGGAGGCATCTATGAGCACGATCTATAAGGATCAATAATAACACGAATATTTGATTGTTTGTCTGTGATCTGATATTCAAAATTTATATCTAAGCTCTTTATAATATTTATCAAAAATAAAAAACGGTATCGTGATTTGGCAAAGCTGATTTTTCAGTATCTTATAGTCGATGGAGTTATGAATTATTACCAATAAACCTATAACATTTACATCACTCTTATAATTAACTTTGTTAGAAATTTGATTACAGTTTAATTTCTATGTAAGCATGTTCAGAGTAGTTTGAATGAAGTCATTTTGATTATAATTAAAAAAAAAACCTGTTCCCTCATTTGCATGCAGTGTGGAGGTAGCATAGATATTGTAAATAAAAGGCCTGTGTGATTTTTCGAAATAGCATGCCTTATCTATGGAATTTAATAAAATTTACGATTTGGTTTATGGGAAGATGAAATAATTAACTGTTTAAGGTTATTTCGCGCCACTACGGTACATACACTTATGCGTACATTTGTATCATAATAATGGCGTAAGTTTGCATGTTTTATTCATTATTATATACATAAAGTGTATCTTTACCGCATACCAGATAATAAATTTGTTTGTGGGTAAAATATAAATGATAACCTATATAACCTATACCATTGATATGTGAGTTGAGGTAAATAAATTACTTTATTGGGATATAACTATATTCAGCTAAAAATGTTTCAATGTTTTTAGTTTTATTTATACATGTACCAGAGGGAGACTGTACAAAAGTCGTTTGCTTGGGTGTTTCAACCGTAAAGCAGTTGTGTTTGCATGGCTGTGTTTCGGTTTGAAGGGTGGGATATGGCGTGAATTTACAGGGTACAGAGGAATAACACCTGAGTCCTCAGGAATGGCAACGCATGGGGGTATCATGGGTGAAACAGTATACTCTGTTCTGTTCATGGTACTGTTCATGTCTATAGGCGATGGTTACCACTTTCCATCAGGTGGGCCGGCAGCTCGTTTGCCATTCTCAGTTGTATAAAAAAAATGTACATTGCATGCTGATCCGGTGCCACTCTTAAGGGAAATGTCTGTTCACTGAGATAGTTGCAAATTCACAACTGAACTTGTTTCACTGTACTGTTTAGCGGAGCTGTATCAAATTACGCGAATCTATATTTTTAGTGTTTATTATGTAATCTAATTCGTGTAGTTTCCGGTATACAATATATTAGACAGACTTCCTTTCCTGTGGGTGTCGTAAGTAGCGACTAAGGTAGGGCGAGGGATGGGCAGCAGCGTCCCTCTTATAACATCATTTAAAGCCAAACTACGGTTGCCAACCCGCTTGCCAAACGTGGCAACTACTGGCTAAACCACCCTTATGGGGGAGGCTATATTCAGCAATGGACAGCTAACGGTTGATACAAATATAATTTAATTACATTAATAGAAAAAATACTACTTAGTAATTTTTCTATTAATGGGCGGCTAGTCACTTACCATCAGGTTAGCCGCATGCTCGTTTGCCCCCCGTGTTATAAAAAAGAAATTAAAAACATTGATTGTTTAATATCTATTTCGAAAAACACAGTACTCTCAGTTTTATTATTCCTGTGATGAAATTCTTATGAATTTCTTTCTGTATAAATTAGTAATAAAATAGTGATTTTCCAAAATAATAAGTACATTAGTAAAATAGATATTTATCAAGCAAATCAATTGCTACATAGTAATTAGGTAACTTATTAACAATTCTTCTATTTGCAGGAACAAATGGTATTGACACGAGATTTGGCATCGACGATAGACCGGGCTCTCCTTTACCCGGGGTAATAAATAAATACATTATTTTAAGCAATTTAGATTAGATAATAAGCTAATATACTGATATTGCTACATGGTCCCTGTATAGAACGGACCACACATTCCTTTTTCATAGGTATTGTAAGAGGCAAAGGGAACTAGAAGGTTTAGGGATGGGTAGCAGTGTCTCCCTTAAAGCTTGACCAAAAGCCTAACTGTGGTTACCAACTCAACTGCCAAACGTGGCAACTACTGCCAAACCTGGCAACTACTACCGAAATCTCCCCTAATGGGTGAAGCGTATGTGGAGTGGACAGTTAATGGCTGATTTGATGATGATAATAAAAAAGCTGACAGTCCACCTGACGACAAGTGTTAGCCGTTTACCATGAATATAACACAATATATTGCGATGACTATGGTACCCTTATGTGTTGCCATTCTGTTGTTTTGTTAAGTATATACCCATAAGTTGATATATACCACCTTTCAAATCGAAGCCATAGCCATGAAAACACAGCAAATTTACTGCAGAAACAAGAGTAGGTATAACTAACCCTAAAAAAGAGAGCATCTATCTTTCTTTCTCCCTCTGTCTCTCTCTCTGGTAGTAATAAATTGATCGCAACAGTAATCCTACTAATATTATAAATGTAGATGTTTGTATGTTTATGAGTAAATTACGCTTAAACGACTGAATGGATTTGAATAAATCTTGGTACACCGATAGGTTATATGCAAATAGAGGATACTTTAGCAATTTACGCGGCCAGAGCCGCGGGGAATAGCTTGTAAATTAATTACATGTGGGTATAAGAATTAATTTATTTTTATTGTACAGGTAATTCCGGACGTGAACACTTACCAACAGAAGAAGAACTTGGCGCAAGGCATGATGGACCTAGCACTATTGTCCGCCAATGCGAACCAGCTCCGATACGTCATAGAGACCGCCAATGGACACCCTTACTACTACTCGAGTCTCACATTCATCACACTCAGCATTATATTGCAAGTAAGGCATAAAGCAACCAAAGTACTCAGTACCGATCTTAAAGGCAGAAAGGAAAAACAATACCGTGGGCATTACCCTTACATAGACTTATTTGCCGACGGAACAGTATTGTTTATTTTATCATAGACATCAAACATTCTATCTACGATTTTTTTTTCAATGACCTACCCAAAGATTGTCTGGAAGAGATTGCTTAGCGACAAGGCCACCTTTTGTATCACTTCTCAATAAAACTTGCTGTATTATTTTTATAAATGTTGCAATAAATTGTAAATAAATAAATATCTCTCTGTCTGATGCCGGAACAAACATGCATTTTTATTCTGGCTTCATGGAAAATCTGCTGCACCAAATTGGATGCAGTTCTCCCAATCCTATTCCTTAAGATTAAGGTTCATATTTTTGCTTACCGAAATGTAGCAACGTCGCAAATATGTGTCAATTTTTATTTTAAATATTGACACATTATTTAAAGTGTTCTGCTAGCTATATATAGCTATTTGGAAAGTTTCAAAGTAGAATATCGAATAAGTGCAAAATTTTAAGTGCTATATTTATATGCAAAGTATTCTATGATTGTTGGACATTGACAGATAAAAGCGACGTTGCAACAGTACGAACGCTCTTATAATCCGGGGGCCTACCATGAAATGAAATTCCGAAGTTTCGGACTCAATTTCGTATTTTCTTTCATATCTAATACGGCCCAGTAAATGGAGCTTAACATTTCGTTCGTCACAAATCCTACCATAAAAGTCCAAAGGAATAATAATTTAATATTTTTAATGTTTTTAAACGGTAAGTATTATGTAATTTTAACGTCAAATTTGTGTTTCGTTCGGCTCCGAAATTTCGGTAAACATTTCATGGCAGACCCTCTGGTGTATATTTATCTTGCTAAGCCATTTAAAAGTGGTTATCTACTTTCAAAATCCACGCACATGTCGTTACTAAATAATCCTAAATATCTTTCCACGTATTCCAGATCGCCGTTGGCATCGGCCTAATAATGAACAGCAGATACAACGTCAAAGACGAGAAGGACATCTGCAAAGCGGACAAGATCAACAACATGACGGTGCTGGGCGTGTTCCTCATCACCATTGTGAACGTGTTCATCACCTCGTTCAGCGTCGCTCCCACCAGCACCGGGGTGGTCCCCACCGTGGCCGTCCAGTCGAATATACAGCAGGCCGGATAGTGTTAAGTGGTCATACTCGAGTGAGGTATCTATTTAAACCTAAGAGCACCTTAATACACCTGGTGTATAAAACGACAACTTGTAGAGGACGCTCAGTGCATAACTCAATTTTATCGTGTTTTTGTCATTCTCCATTGTCTATGGTATTATATTTTTTGTAAAAGTTCCTATCGTATTAGAATCATTTACCAAAATCTAATACGATAGTGGCCTGGTTAGTGCAGGACACTAGTTTTAATGCTCAAAAGATATAGCTACCACAAATTGAAAACGTATTTTACCTTCTAATACGAGGTTTGTCCGGAAAGTACGTATAAAAGTTTTTTAAAAATTTTATTTTACAATTATTCAGGTAAATCAATTTTATCCCCTTCAAAGTACTCCCCCTGTGACATAATGCACTTGTGCCAACGCCGTTTCCACTGTGAGAAGGCTCCTTGAAAGTCCTCTGGTTGTAGGTTTCTCAGCTGCCCCGTCGTAGCTTTTTTTATCTCATTTATGTCCCCCAAATGCCGCCCCCGAAGTACCAATTTGGTTTTTGGGAACAAGAAGAAGTCACACGGGGCCAAATCCGGCGAATAGGGGGGTGTTCGGTCACCGTAATGGAATTTTTACTCAAAAACTCACGGACAACAAGAGAGGTGTGGGCAGGGGCATTGTCGTGGTGAAGAATCCAACGCCCCTCTCGCGCCAATTCTGGACGAACTCGTGCCACACGAGCTTTGAGGCGTCTGAGCACATCGACGTAGAATTTTCCATCAACTGTCTGGCCTGGAGGGACGAATTCTTGATGGACAATCCCCCGAACATCGAAAAAAACAATCAACATTGTCTTGACATTTGAGCGGGATTTTCTTGATTTTTTTGTTCGTGGTTCCCCGGATGTCTTCCACTCTTTGCTTTCACGGCCATTCTTGCCGAGTTTCGAGAGAAACTTGATTACGACGCGCTGCTCTTCAACGGAAGCGGGCTCCATGCCGACGGGGTTTCGTTAAGAGGTAACTTCACAGATGGCGTGACAAGCCAGTTCGCACCGCACGGCGGTCAGACCAGAACTGAAGCATTGTTAGGGACATAAGGAAGGGGTCCTGCGCTTACCTGGCCTCCCCACTCCTCTTTCTCGCATTCCAGAACACTTTTATACGAACTTTCCGGACAGACCTCGTATAATGTAATGGAATTTGATTAAAAAGAGGAAATTGCATGTATGTTATGCATTTGTATGTAAGTATGTACAATTTGTGGTGTATACAAGATACATACAAGCTATTGCTTGGAGACTTATTCTTAATCATGTAAAAGAAATTCAAATTTTGAAAAAAAAAAAACAATCGATTTTCAAATATAATTAGTTATAGTTTATAATAATAATATGCTTATGAATGTAATCCTAGACGTGGTATATAGAGGCCTTATCGACTGTTACCGTTCTAATGATCTTAACACTCGACATTCCAACATTTTGGCAAGAGAATCTAGCGTGTCGTGTAGCGAGCTTACCGCCATCTTTGTTAAGTATTTTTCATTATGGGAAAGTTAGCTCGACATTTAATTGTGCCATCCATGTTTTTGCTGCTAATGGCTTCAATTCTGAGTTGCAATTTCTCTAAATTTATCTTTAAAATGAAAATTTCAATTTGACATCACAGCGACATATTTATTCTAAGGACCAATATGAACTAAATCTCTAATCGATGTATGTGAATATTATTATAAATTTAAATATTAGGTTAAGAAATAAAGATGGTAACGAACGAATTCATCCTTTCGATATTATATATTGGATCTGTACTGATATCTATCTATTCTTAATAAATCTTGATAATTATATTTTTATGAACAAACATAAAATAGTTATAATTTTTAACGAAACATATGCTCTTGAAAAAGGACTGTATATTTTACGAAATAATAAGACGGTCGCTGCTAGTGGTAGAGAAAAATATAATAAAGAATCATGACATTGTCAGATATCAAAAAACAAAATAAAAATATAAAATTTAAAAATATTCTCTAAAAAGGTGCGTTCTGCACAATAATATTATAAATAATAAGATGTAATATTACGATATAGTGTGAATAATGGTCAAATAAAATCTTAATTATTTTTAATGACATGTAAATATTTACACTGAATGGATTCGAGTATTGTACTTATATACAACTGATTCTTATATCTTTGCTTTCACCATTACAAGCTATTCATGTTAATTAATATAGAAATAATAAGCTAAAAGAGCTGCTAAAATTTAGTGTAATTATACCAAAGTTGTACTATATACATACATAGTTGTAAGGAATTCTAGAATCATGCAAAAGAACTGATAATAATCTTCAAAGGGGGATAGATCTCACTTTATGAATCTTGTAAGTACTCTTTTATTTCTAAATATCTAGTTACTTGCAATCTCAAAATGATAAATATAATAGCGAGTCATGTTTTTTTTTAATGAGTTTTTTTAATGGATGATAATGGAATGCTAACCCCACCCGCGCTATCGGTATACACCGGCGGGGCACCAGTGAAGGATGATAGGTGAGGATGAAGTAGGTCAGTTAGCCCATCGTGACGACTTCAATAAGAATTGTTCACGATGGTTTCCAGGAGGAACCACGTGGAGGTTGACCTAATAGGGCATATTGCTAGCAATGGGGCTGTCAAACTCCATTGCTAACAATTTCCTTTTCCCCTTTTTTAGTGAGTGATAATGGCATGGTAACCCCGCCTGCGATGAAGGAGCAAATTTGGATATCGGAATTATCGATTAAGTGCTCGTACTAAGCAAGTACAGTGGTCGTAATGTTCACAAATACGAAATATATGTATCCTATGGGAATATACTTTTTGTTGTACATTAGACAATGTGGTTGTAAGTTAAAATTATTCTAAAGCTATAAAGTTGTTCACAGACGCTCAAATTTTGCGCATTTATATAAGTAATCAAATTGTATTGAAACTAAATAATGTTCTTTTCCCTATTGTAAGCTACTCATCGTTGACTTTTAGTTAAGCAATTTCTTGTAAATACAAATTATAAAATGTACTAAGTACAATAAATATTATACTTTTTTTAACGTATTTTATTATTTTATTCCACAGTCAGCGTCAATAAAATGTACATAATGGAATCACAAAATGAAAATTATAATTTCTCTCAATGCGAACATGTCAGGTTTTTTATAGTGATTTAGAGTTTTTTTTTTAATGGGTGATATTGGTATGGTATAATGGTATAACCCCGTCTGTGCTATTGATATACACTGGCGGGGCACCAGTGAGGGATGACAGACAGACAGACAGAGAAGATGAAAGTAGGTCAGTTAGCCCATCCTGACGAATTAAACTAGATTTAGTCACGATGTTTTCCAGGGGTAACCACGTGGAGGTCGACCTGACAGGGTATATTGCTAGTAATGGGGCTATTTGACCCCATTACTAACAATCCCTTTTCCCCTATAAATTAGAGTTTACAAGGATCATAATCTCTTATACAAGTTGTAACGAATAACAAGTTAAAATTCAGTAATGTCCCGAAGGTGAGTATAGATTATTTATTATCTCAATGTTATTATTATTACCTACCCTAATTATAAAATACCATGTTCGTAATTCCCTGTTCATACTAAAGATTGACTGGCAGAGAACGCCAATAGCATTAAGTCCGCCTTTTGCATCATATTTTCTTTTGATCAATCATCATCATCTCAGCCATTATCCGTCCACAGCAGAACATAGGTCTTCCCCATAGACCGCCATAAAGAACGGTCCTGAGTCACCTGCATTCACTGAATACGGTCGTTACTCCGTCTAGTGGAGGGCGGAGGGTCGGCCTACATTGCGTACCGTACGAGGTCGCCTCTCAAGAACCTTTCTTCCCCATCGGTTGTCTGTTCTTCGACCTGTGACCATCCCTTTGCTACTTCAGTTTGACTTTGTTTATTTGCGGATGTCCTCATTTCGGATTCTCCATATAGCTCCATTCTCCAATAGCCCTTTCCATGGTCAGCTGAGTAATTTGAAGTTTTTACATACGAGCAATCGTGTAGGAACATGTTTCGGTTTCATAAGTCATCACTAGCAACACGCTCCGATTAAAAACCTTCGTCTTCTTTTAAACAATGAGTTATTAAAATAAATTACAATAATAATAGTAAAGATGCTCAAACAGCGTTACTATAATAATAAAAAACTTGAAAAAATTACGCTACCAACTCTGTTCATAAACTAAAGCATGCAAGCTATGTACCAGTTTAAACACCGAGCGTTTGACGCGACTGTCAGCAATTTTAAGACTGTTCTTAATTTAAATTTGGTGCCAATTATACAGAAAACAGCCACATTATCTATGACTGCGATAAAGATGGCTGCTTTTTACGTAACTAGAGTTCCATTTATAGTTTGGGGTTTCATGAAATGAAAAACCAAAAAATTTTAGAATCCAAATGTATTGAATACAAAACAAATCTAATAAATTGTCAGGTGGCAATTTTTAAATATTCTATTATTAATAATAGTATTATATTAAGAGGAAACGCCCTTCGCACCCGCGCGAGGTGTCGCCCCGCATCCCAATATATTACAACACATGCTGCGTACGCGCATCCGTGGGGCTCATCGCAAATAATTCTAACCTACGTTACATATACATATATGGACAGGTGTACAGAGTTGAGTGTACCCGCCGGCCCGCCAGATGGAGCTGTAGATCTGTCTCGGAATTTCACCTTGTTTTGGAGAATTATCTACATGGTATATTGAAGTAATGAGATAAAAAACTCTCAACAGATGAATAATTGATAAGTTTTGTACTTGCCCAATTACGATTTTCATTAGTACCATTTGACAGTTCTCTTGAAAGACCAATTGTGATCCATAGCAAACTCATATACTTAGAAAAAATTTTTTCATACACAAGCTGCCAGTCTAGTTGATGGCAAACGATACTGGTCACCTGTAGACACGAACAGCACCATGCACATCACAGATGATGATCATCACATACACTGTGATAACTAAAGATTAACGCCACAAAATTCTAGTAATTACACTGGAAAGAACTATCGCCATATCTTAATAGTTTCTTTACAATCTGTAATTGGCAATCAATGAGAATAAATGCCAATTTATTCACATATTAGCGTTATGTATCACAGCTCCCAGACGAGCCCACCAAATCAATATTTTACTCAACTCTGTACCACCCTCTTCGATTTTCACAATTTTAAATACTAAATCATTTTCTATTCAATATTTCATACAAAACATATTGCCTCCAATTACAGCACAATCCATATTGCCGTCACAATAATATTTGTTTTTGTGACCGTGTATAAAATAGTACTAGGAAAGAAACATTGAGATCCCATATGGCTAACCTTGGTGTAACTTCAGTGCGTATAAAGTTGCATCTCAAATAAATATTGGAAAATTAAGAGTAATAAAAAAAAAACTATATATTATACAATATAGGAACAAAATAATGATGGCTAATAAAAAATCAACCCTCCCACACAAAGTGTTACGACGCGTCATTTTATTTATAATATTTCAAATTATATATGTATAATGAAAATCGAAATTAGCTACGATAAATCCAACTTTGTGTGAGAGGGCGGGCTCTCAACAATTATAATTCATTATTATATTTATTATAAGATACAGTGCCAATAATGGGGAAAGAGAGCTCTACATTGAATATTAGGAAAGATGTTTGAAGCAGTACACTTATCTAATACAACAGGGATATGATATCGAAATTTCAGCTTATTTTTCGAGATAGTAAATAGAAAAAATTGATTGTAATGATAATCAATGAAGAATATTTTTTAATTATTATTAGTGAAGATCTTTTCTCTGAAAGAATTAATTCCATTGAGCCCAGAATTCATTATAAATATTTTTTTTTACACAACTTAGAATGGCAAACAAGCTGACGGCCCACCTGATGTAAAGTGGTAACCGTCGCTTATAGACATGAGCAGTACCATGGACATAACAGACTATACTGTTTCGCCCATGATACCCCTCATGCGTTGCCATTCCTGAGGACTCAGGTGTTATTCCTCTGTACCCAGTAAATTTATAATCAACTCTATAAATTTAATCATTATAATAAATGATCTGCGTATATTCAGAATAGATTAAAAAAGATCCAATAGTTGTTAAAATATAATATATCGTAAATTGTATATAAGTTAATAAAAAAGTTTTTCCATTTAATTAATCTCATTTATTAATTGGTATTGTGGTATATATATATATATATATATATATATATATATATATATACCACAATATTACGATATTTATACAGTTTAAAATATATATGAATGAGAAAGCAAGCTATAATGTTCATGGAACTAAATTTTCCAATTGAAACAGATCACTTAAATGCAAAGTATGTATATTTTTAGTTTACAGACATACACTCCTCGCAAAAATTAAGGGAACATAAAAATTTTTGAAATTTTTGGGTGATTTTCAACAGGCTGTATTTCAGTGAAAAATAATCGTACAGGAAATTTAAAAAAAGGGTTTTGAAGCTTGAAAACTCTAGTTTTCAGATTTTTTGGTGAAAAAATTTTTTGAGCTCCAGTTTCCATGCAATTCTTAAACAAAGCTAAAAATAATTTTTTTCTAAATTTTCTAGGTTTCGTTTTTTACTCTATGGGCATGGAAAAATTTTTTCGAGCTACTCCATTATATAGGTCTCTTAGCGTGTTTATTCAGCTTCAAAAATCGCTTTGGATGGCTAAATTACGACCATTTGTCTCCGAGATATCGAACTTTGAATGCAAAAGCATCCTTTTCCATTCAACTGCTAATATCTCTGGAACTACTGGTCGCACAGCAAGCGGGCGCCGAGTTTCTTTATCTGAATAAAATTTCCAATTAAGCACAGTCAAGAGTTAGTGAAGAAAAAATTTTTTTCCATCTCTAACATTGAATTGAAAAAAGTGGAAAAAAGTGACTTTTTCTCTTTTTTGGTTACTTGGCTGTATCTTCGCTAATATGGGCGGGAAAGCTAAGGTTTGAGGAAAATTTTACAGTCTATTGTTCCTTAAAGAACCCCCTAAATCCCTGGAGCGATCAGTTCAACGGTTTTTCCCGGACCAATTGATTGAATAAGGGAACAAGGTTTTTGTCCCTTAAACTCACCCTAATCCATTCAAAAATCAATAATTTCATTTGTTTTTCACTTTTTACTCAAATTTTTGTTTTTTAAAAATTCATTATCAAAAAAAAATCGAAAAAAATCAAGAAAATTTTATGCAGATAAAGAAACTCGGCGCCCGCTTGCTGTGCGACCAGTAGTTCCAGAGATATTAGCAGTTGAATGGAAAAAGGATGCTTTTGCATTCAAAGTTCGATATCTCGGAGACAAATGGTCGTAATTGAGCCATCCAAAGCGATTTTTGAAGCTGAATAAACACGCTAAGAGACCTATACAATGGAGTAGCTCGAAAAAATTTTTCCATGCCCATAGAGTGAAAAACGAAACCTAGAAAATTTAGAAAAAATTTATTTTCAGCTTTGTTTAAGAATTGCATGGAAACCGGAGCTCAAAAATTTTTTTTACTAAAAAATCTGAAAACTAGAGTTTTCAAGCTTCAAACCCCTTTTTTTAAATTTCCTGTACGATTATTTTTCACTGAAATACAGCCTGTTGAAAATCACCCTAAAATTTCAAAAATTTTTATGTTCCCTTAATTTTTGCGAGGAGTGTATTTAAAAAAAAAGTTTCCCGTTATGAATACTGTCGTTGGACTTCGTATTGTAATATACGCCTGGGTCTCATGTAGATACATTTACGCTACCGCACGTATGAGAAAGATCAAGACGCGTCACAACCGCTGTCTCGTTCTATTTCACACGTAAACGCATCTATTTGCTTGTTACTTGTCTACGTATGGTATACCTGTATACAATCTCGAAGTACATAATTCCCTATTTCCTTCACAAGTACTGCAACTACTGTATTTATGTATATTGAAATTATATATTAAATACTTATTTCTATACATACTTTAATAATATTGAGTTAGGTGAAACAAGAGCCAAATGTTACGAACTTTATACCAACAAGTTTATAACCAAACACAAGTTTATGTGAACACAAATTTGAACCTAATACTATCGAACGTCTCGATTTCATCCCTAGAGTTGCCAAATGACAGCAATCTGTCTCCATCTCGCTCACACTCAGCATTAACATAGCGATAGTATTAGGTCAAATTTGTCGAAATCAATTTATACTCACGCACGAATACCAATTGGTTATAAACATCAATGACCTCATCAAAATATAATTCTAATACGGATTATAAATAATGTTGAATATATTTACAATTTGGCTCCAATTCCATAAATGCCGAATCACATGTGTATATTATTGCAACACTCGAATATTTGGATGTTTGTATGTGACCATAACTAGCTTTCGTCTACCTCTGCAAAGCGTGCACGACCGTAGCGCTTACATTTGGCTTCTTTCATACAAATCCCATGAACAAAAAAAAATTTATACAACTTATAATGGCAAACAAGCTGACGGCACATGTGATGTCAAGTGGTAACCGTCGCCTATAGACATAAGCAGTACCATGGACATAACAGAGTATACTGTAAATTTATGCCAAAACCGTGAAATGAATAAGGAGATTCTACTAAACACACTAAATTGTATGTTGCGAGAATGTTATAGAGAAATTTGATATTACTGAAAATTGAGAGAGGATTATTTATAATTCGATGTGATTCAGATCTCACATTATAATTGTTGGCAGCATTTTTACAAATATTTAGTGGCTTGGTTTCTCACCTTAGACATTATATATAATGCAGATTTGGTTTCCTCATAAAATAAATAATCACAAATCCAATTATAACAAACAATCTGTATGACTTTTTTATGCAACTTAGAATGGCAAACAAGCTGACGGCCCACCTGATGGAAAGTGGTAAACGTCGCCTATAGACATGAGCAGTACCATGGACATAACAGAGTATACTGTTTCGCCCATGATATCCCCCATGCGTTGCCATTCCTGAGGGCTAAGACTTTGAACTGTTTTATCACGAACCAGTGTTGGTTACATGTTGAAATGATTCCATCAAAACCTAATCTGCATATATAAAAGAGGATTACTGATGTTTGACCGACTGATAAACCCATATATCAACGCATAGCCGAAGTCGCTGAATCTAGAATCTTGAAATTTTACAGATTAGTTCTTTACATAACATAGGCGAAAAATAAGAAAAGAATTTTAAAAATTCAACCCCTACGAGGATGAAATGGTGGTTGACAGATTATATTGGAGTTTTTTTAGAATTGAAGTAAGGAACTATTGATTAGAAATAAATAAAATACTTTTCAGTGTTTTTGGAAATTAATAAGAACAATTATAATTTATAAGATTGAAGAAAAATGATTACCGCGAATGGCACACGCGAATGAAGCTGCGGTCAAAAGCTAGTACATATACTAAATAATGTAAATAAAATATCTATTATTAAAGGGATGAGTGTGAAAGGAGTCAAGTGTAGGAACGAATGAAAAAATGAGTATGTATTTACTCAATTCTATTTTGGTTTGGCCAGTGCAGTGTGATAGTGTGTATATAGGCGTTTCACACCAAGTGTAGTTTAAATCACTGTGTGAATCAAACAAGTGTTATAGCAACAAATCTTTCTAGGCATCGATAGCGTATTGGACACATACGTTTTTTATGGTAAACTACTTGTACCACTGTACTTTTGATAGTAACCTAAAAAAAACTGATATTTCACATTGTTACGTGAGCAACTTCAATATTAATAGTCCACGATACACACAGTGGTTTCCAAAAGCCCCATTTGAAATAGCACTTGTCCATTCACCATGTAGAGGGAACGTATGAGTGTAAGCTTCTGCAAAGTGATAAAAACATGACCAAACACTATGATGTCACCATTTTATAATGTTATTGTTATCAATCATGTTTTTATAAGACTGTCACCAACTTTTTAACTTATCTACTATGAAAATGCGAATATCTGTTTCATATTTGAAGAATCGACTAAAACATGAAATTAATTTAATATTAATTAGCAGAAATGAACTGTAATAGTACAATTTCGAGTTATTCCCTCACTGTGGTAGGGTTAAATGAACGAAACATATCTACTGCTGAGAAGTTAGTGTTCAGTAGGTTCATCCCGATTATGTACTAATTGAAAAAGCTTACACTCTCGTGGATTGTATGCGGTGAAACGCCCATATATGCCCAAGTGGTGGTAGTGTAGTGGTGGTACGGTGATGGTGGTAACGGTGGCGATGTTCAGATGGCGTCGATGTCGACGTCGATGTCAGCGTCGTCCTCCGGCTGCTTCTTGGGCGGCGCGGGTGCGGTCACCGCCTTGATGGGAGTCACTTTGGCGCGGTCGTCGTACTGTATCTGTGAAGAACAAACCACATATTTTATAACACACTCATATAATTCGCGAATTAGGAATTACTGTAAAAATGCACCCTTCAGACCTCAAAGGTTTTTTTAATAGATGATAATGGAATGGTAATCCCGCTTGCGGTAACAGTATACGCTGGTTGGTGAGACACCAGTGAGAGCTGATAGGTGAGGATGAAAAGGGAGGCTAGTTAGTTCGTCGTGTAAATACTCCTGGAATTCAGCACAATGGTTTCCGGAAGCGACCACTTGGAGGTCGACCTGATAAAGTATATTGTTAGCAATGGAACTAGTAATTTGCATTACTAACAACTCTTTCCCGGCGTTTCACAAAGCTTAGGTTAATTATCATTATCACTGTAACTGTTTTTTTTTATACAACTTAGAATGGCAAACAAGCTGATGGTCCACCTGATGGAAAGTGGTAACCGTCTATAGACATGAGCAGTATCATGGACATAACAGAGTATACTGTTTCGCCCATGATACTCTCCATGTATTGCCATTTCTGAGGACTCAGGTGTTATTCCTCTGTACCCTATAAATTCACGCCATGTCCCACCCTTCAAACTAAAACACAACCATGCAAATACAACTGCTTCACGGTTGAAACACGAATGGGACAGAGGTACCCAAGCAAACGACTTTTGTACAAATAAAATCAATAAAAATGTATATACGAGAGAAGGGCACGGGGCATACCTCGATGTCCTCCTCGCTGGCGGCGTCGTCGCTGCTGTCCTCCTCGGCGTCCTGCAGCCAGTCGAGGAAGGGCTGCGCCCGCTTGCGCACCTCCGCCACGAGCTCCTTGCTCGCGTACTTGCGCGACGGCTTGCTGGCCCACTCCAGCAGCGCCTTCTCCTCCACGATGTCCGCGTCGTACAGCAGCTTCAGAATCGCGGGAACCTGCGATGGCAACGTGACCCTGGTTAATTCGTTGAGTTGAGATTGTGTGCGAAGATAGGTCGGCAGGAGCTTGGATAGCACAAGGGTGGAGATGCGTGGCTACAGCATCGATTTACTGTGGTACTAGAGTCACGCTGTAATACTATATGGTATTGCAGCATGAATGGGCCGGCTCGACCGGGGAAGTACCACACCCTCACAGAATACCGACGCTAAGTGGCCGCAATTTTAGTGCGACCACATTCCGTATGGTGAGTGAGAGAGTCCGGAGACCCATCCTAACCACAAACCTTTACTAATCCTAAAATCCTACCCCCAACCCCGTCCCCCGCTCCGTCTCTCAATATGACCATAGCAATGGAATTTAGAAAAAATAACGTACCCCTGGGAGGTACCAGCAACCATGTTGCAATTCCGCTCTTTGAGACCAAGGGCAAACAGAGCAAGACTTCTGCGGCATCACCACCTTTGCTCAATGTGAGCCTCTGTAATATTAGGGAAATTCATTCAAACCTGAACGCTGTCCACCACTACCCAGAAACGGCGCGGCCGGCATTGCTTGCTCACGGAGACAGATATCCTCTCCAAACGAAACGTTATAACTGACCTACCCGGGTTATAAGCTTGAACATTGTTTTGTTTCACGTGCCGGTGTATGTGTGTATGTCAGAAAGGATATCTGCTGTCAACCGCCTTGGGAGTCTTGAAGGTATGGACCTGTCCATTCTATGACTGCGCATAGACTGCAATGACCATTCTCGCATCTATGCATGCCTATACAGGTCCCACAGCGGTAACACTGAAACCGACCAACTCATTGAGCACGTCCAAATGGCTACAGGTTCCCTGCTCGAACAGGTTCCTTCCGCTGAAGTCGTGATTCCTGGCGACTTTAATGCCCACCATACCGAATGGTTTGGTTCGCATACAATTAACTATGCGGGAAGATCTGTTCATGACTTTGCTTTGGCTTATGATCTGACGAAGCTCATTTCCTCATCTACGCGAATACTTGATGTGTTGGGACATTCTTCTTCACTGCTGGACTTTCTGCTGACTACCCACCTAGACGAAAACTATGTGATTTCCGTCGAAGCCCCGTTTGGATCGTCGGATCATTGTTTGGTGTGGAGCGAGGTGCCTTTCACGAGTCCAACTTCACCTCGTTCTGTGGGTAGACGTCGCATTTGGCACTACAGGTTGGCAGATTGAGATGCGGTTTTTTTTTCGTATCTTACCTAAGGAGGCAGGTTTGTTTTATCCTGGATAATCTGTGTACCAGTGGCCGGTGGCCGGTGCATGGTGGCCGGTGCATGGTGGCCGGTGCACGGTGCACGGTGGCCGGCGGCCGGTGCCGGCGGTGCGTGCGTACCTTGGGCAGCAGCGCGGGGTGGTGCGCGCAGAGCGCGGTGAGCGCGTGCAGCGCGGCTCGCTGCGCGCTGTGTACCAGTGGCCGGTGCACGGTGCACGGTGGCCGGCGGCCGGTGCCGGCGGTACGTGCGTACCTTGGGCAGCAGCGCGGGGTGGTGCGCGCAGAGCGCGGTGAGCGCGTGCAGCGCGGCTCGCTGCGCGCTGTGTACCAGTGGCCGGTGGCCGGTGCATGGTGGCCGGCGGCCGGTGCCGGCGGTGCGTACGTACCTTGGGCAGCAGCGCGGGGTGGTGCGCGCAGAGCGCGGTGAGCGCGTGCAGCGCGGCTCGCTGCGCGCTGTGTACCAGTGGCCGGGGGCCGGTGCATGGTGGCCGGCGGCCGGTGCCGGCGGTGCGGACGTACCTTGGGCAGCAGCGCGGGGTGGTGCGCGCAGAGCGCGGTGAGCGCGTGCAGCGCGGCTCGCTGCGCGCTGTGTACCAGTGGCCGGTGGCCGGTGCATGGTGGCCGGCGGCCGGTGCCGGCGGTGCGTACGTACCTTGGGCAGCAGCGCGGGGTGGTGCGCGCAGAGCGCGGTGAGCGCGTGCAGCGCGGCTCGCTGCGCGCTGTGTACCAGTGGCCGGTGGCCGGTGCATGGTGGCCGGCGGCCGGTGCCGGCGGTGCGTACGTACCTTGGGCAGCAGCGCGGGGTGGTGCGCGCAGAGCGCGGTGAGCGCGTGCAGCGCGGCTCGCTGCGCGCTGTGTACCAGTGGCCGGTGCACGGTGCACGGTGGCCGGCGGCCGGTGCCGGCGGTACGTGCGTACCTTGGGCAGCAGCGCGGGGTGGTGCGCGCAGAGCGCGGTGAGCGCGTGCAGCGCGGCTCGCTGCGCGCTGTGTACCAGTGGCCGGTGCACGGTGCACGGTGGCCGGCGGCCGGTGCCGGCGGTACGTGCGTACCTTGGGCAGCAGCGCGGGGTGGTGCGCGCAGAGCGCGGTGAGCGCGTGCAGCGCGGCTCGCTGCGCGCTGTGTACCAGTGGCCGGTGCACGGTGCACGGTGGCCGGCGGCCGGTGCCGGCGGTACGTGCGTACCTTGGGCAGCAGCGCGGGGTGGTGCGCGCAGAGCGCGGTGAGCGCGTGCAGCGCGGCTCGCTGCGCGCGGTTGTCGGCGCGCGTGAAGCGCAGCAGCAGCGCGCGGTGCTTCTTCACGTCGGCCGCCAGCGAGTTAGCGCGCACCAGCACCTCGAAGATCACCAGCGGCGCTTTCGACTTCACCTCCAGCCTGAGAATATTGTTTATTATTAAAAATAAATTTTTAAAAACAAATTATTATCATTGCGCATATAAAAAACAAATATTATTATTAAAGCAGTATCTGTAATATGTCTTTACTAATATAGAAATAAAAAAATATTGTCTTGTTAAATATGACGTAAAAAATATACCGAAAATAAAATTCCAGACAAATTATCATATTGAAGTTTAGGCAGCATGATCTCCGACCTTAGCCTGTTCCACAAGGGAAAAACGTACTAAAAAAAATATACGAAAAATTATATCGGAAAGTCGGCATTTTTAATTTTATATCAACCTCGGATTAAAAATTGGTCCTCCGGGTCATATCAAATTAATGAAGAATTTTCAGATAGTTATTAGTAATATTAGCTATCATTCGACGTCATAATTGGCAGTGCTCATTGTCTACCATCTACATTTGCAAGGCGTCAAGGTTCGACGTAGTAACAATAGATGAACCAGGTGGTAATTCCTGGAGGACTGACGTACGAGCGGTATCCAGTTCGAGGTTGACGACACGGAGACACGAAGCACCTTGGGATGGTGCACGGAACATCAATAAAATTTACGGCAAATTAATAGTATGCTTTCGGTGTGAGTTGTGTGTGCGCTCAATTTGTGAGAAATATTTTATATTTTAAAATGGATAATTAATGTTGAATAACATCAAAGTAGTAAATTCATAGATTTTACATATGAAGGAAAGAAAATAAACCTTTCTTGTTAAAATTATCGATTAATTTTACGGACTTTCAAATTTAAGCGTATAATATTTCCACGAACATTTGAATTTTGTTGTATTATAATTAAAGTTTATTTTTTCTTTGACCGAGAGTTATCGTTGCGTTCGAAATTTAAAAATTGTACGTATCATAATTTTATGTAGATTGCATAATATAATTATTAGTAGAAAATAAGAACTTTTTGTTTGTAATTATCAAATTTCATTGTTTTAAGTTTTGTTTTTATTGTTCTGCTATCAGAATTGAATTAACTTTTTTTATTTCATATATGTAAAGCGTTAATAAGCCAAGTTCTTTGAAACGCTTTCGGCACGATGCGTATGCATTTGAGAAATAAAATTTGTTTCTGTGGACACGTAGAAAAGTTGAAAATAAAGAAAGAAGAAATTTATTAAACAAAATAAATAAAATTTATAAATTAATATACTTTTCAATGTCGCCGATTCTTAGGTAGTGACTAGAATACTAAACATGGATTCTATTATTAAATGTCAATACGATTTACATTCAAGAATAAATAATAATAAATGAAATTTTAAAAAGAGTCCTAAAGATAGACTCACTAAGGAATATATCGAAACACGACTCGAGATAGCAGTCATTATGGATTGAATTATTTTCTGATCACAGGGAACTTATGCGTTGTAGTGACTTAGGTAAATTAAATAATTCAGGTTATATAACGGAAGAGGTTTAAAAGACGGAAGAGCTATATTTAGAATATAAAAGTGAATTAAAACTAATTTTTAATAACTTTGATAAGAAAATAGAAACAAATGTAACAAAGAGTAGTACAAAGTCATCTCAGGTTCGGTTGCCCAGGATAAATATTCCAATTTTTACTGGAAATTACTTAGAATGGTCCACATTCAGAGATTTATATCTATCGTTAGTACTTTTAATGAGGATTTAGACAACGTACAAAAACTTCATTATTTGAAGGGATATTTGGCCGGGGAAGCCGAGCAATTATTGCGACATATACCAATTATAGATGTTAATTATAATAGATGTTGGTCACTTTTAGAGAAACGGTACAATAAGAAAAAATATTTATCACATAGTATTCTTAAAAGGTTATTTAGTCAAAGAAATTGTAGTGTCGAATCTGCAGCTGGTATTAGACATTTAATTGATACAACTACTGAATGTTTAGAAGCGTTGATAAGTTTAGGAATTGATGTTACAACTTGGGATAACATTGTTATTCATATTATTTCGTTAAAATTAGATCCTGAAACTAAAAGGCAGTGGGAATTTAATATTGCTAACAGTATTCATTCAGACAGTTTACCAACATCGGATCAGTTTAAGGAATTTCTCACTAATAGATTTAGGGCATTGGAGTTCTGGAATCTAAGGTTAATAGACCAATAAAATGTCATACGGCTAATGTTGATGTAATTGATGAACGGAAGAACATATATCATTTAGTTGTCAATATTGTCGCGGCTCTTACAAAATGGGTTTCTGTAAAAAGTTTTCGGTTATTGGTATTGATGCTCGACGCAATTTCGTTCAGAAAAACAATATATGCTTTATTTGTTGTTTATATTCCAATCATGTTGCTAAACATTGTAGTAACACTATTAGATATCGTATTTGCAAGGGACGTCATCATTCTTTATTGCATCCACGGAAAAACACGGTACCTATGTCTCAATTTGGCGATAACGGTGATGAGTCAGAGTCGAATCAACACATTTATAACAATAAGTCGCCTAAAGTAGAGACAACAGGATCTAAATCGGAATTGCAAACGGAATGTCATTCTACACCAATTGTGTCTTGCTTTTCGACAGGAGGATCAGATAAAACTACATTATTAGCCACAGCCCTGGTAAAGGCTGAGTCGGAAAATGGGAGACATTGGATCATAAGAGCATTAATAGATCAAGGCTCGGAGGCCTGTTTTATAACTTAAGCTGCGGTTCAGCTTCTAAGTTTAAGAAGTACTCCGGCAAATAGCGTTATACATGGAGGCGGAGGAGAAAGGAATACTACATCAAAATCAGTGGTTCATCTAAAGATACAGTCCATAATCAATCCTAGTTTTGAGATAAATGTTACAGCTTACGTTTTGAAATCTATAACTGCCATTCTTCCAATCACACATGCAACTGTTGAGAAGTAGGTTGACATAGACAACTCAGATTTAGCAGATCCACAATATTACATCCCTAACAAAGCGGATATCTTATTAGATGCTAACGTTTACAGTATGATTATAAAGGGAGGCTGGAGAAAGTGTACAAAGTTCCTTAGTAGCTCAAGCAACTGTATTTGGTTGGATAATATCGGGCGTTACAAGTTCATTTAATTCACAAACTTCGCATTTGGCAGCATTGCACGCTTGTATTAATTCGGATAATAAATCGGAGTTCGAAGACGATTCATGTGAATTGTTTTCGGCAATAAATCCACCTCACGACTACGGAAAGCATATCGTACGTAAGACTTAGAGCATATTATTATAAAGACATCGGTAATCAACTTGAAAAAAGTTAAAATGGTTCCGAATTAAAATTAAATAAAAAATATGAAAGATATAAAGAACAGTACAATGAAGTTAAAGATAAAAAGATATATTCGAAACAAGTGAATTTAGAAAAAGGAAAATGGACTAAAAAGAAAAATAAAGGATACAGGGTAAAAGTACCTTATCACGACAGTATAAGAGAACATAAAAATATTTCTGAGACAAATCTCAAATACGATACATGCTACAGGAAAATAAAATGTATTGACAAACATATGTATAGTGATAGAAATTTTAGATGTACATGTACAAAAATAATATAAAAATAAATAACTTACTAAAGAAAATTATAAAACAGTATAATATAGCGGAAATATTAATAAACAGATAACGGAAATTGTAAGAAATAACATGGTTAATTTAAACTAGATATAATATGCAATTGAATAAATAACAAATTGATATATAATATTATATGTGTATTATACTTACCAGAAATAATTATCAAGCTTGCGATATTTTCTTATATGTGGTGCAGAATTTCTAGAACTAGTTTCAAAAAAGTACAACAGAAATCTACTTTGTGTGAAACCAAAATATCGGTAGAAGTCTGAATAAAAATATTTTTAAAAGATTTGTATTACATATTTTTAAGTTGTATAAGAATTTGGGTCCTATGTTATGTAAGTTCGGTTGAGTATGTATGGAGTTGGTATTAGTTAGATATGTATTTGTGGTTTTGTTATGTGAATTTGTAGTCAGTTCAATGGTATGGACACGTCAGCGTGTCCATGGCGGGTGGTATGTAAAGGCAGTATCTGTAATATGTCTTTGCTATTATGTAAAAATAAATATTGTCTCGTCAAATATGGCGTATAAAATATACGGAAAATTATATCGGAAAGTCGGCATTTTTAATTTTATATCAACCTCAGATTAAACAATTATAATATAAAATAACAAGCAATTAAATGTTTTTATTTTGTTACGCATAAAAATCCAAACGAAACGCACACATATTGACATACACATAAACAACAAAAACTTCTTTGTTGTTTATATATATTATTTGAATTTAGAACGCAAAATTGTTTTTTTTTTTTTGTTGTGCAAAGAAAACCAACAACTTCTAACTTTACAAAATTATAATTGAGCCAACATCAAAGCAGACCTTTTGAATGCAAAGAGAATTATGAAAATCTGTTCAAAATTGAGAGACCATACAATATAGCGTATTTTCTACTATTAACATATTTTCATCATCATAACAGCCATTAACTGTCCCATAACGAAGATAGGGCTTCTCCATAAGCTGCATTCGTCATTGAGTGGTGTTACCAATAGTGCCACGCTTGACAGGCGGTTAACAACTGTAGTTAGGTTTTGGTGACGTTTTTAACTTAAATCCTCTTAGTTGCGTTATATGACAAAATGTTATATGGAAAAGAAATTGGTGGTTTATTCTACATCGGGACCACACGGCATATATAGGCAGGTTGCAGCTGAAAATCAGTGCTTTGCTTTTAAGCAAAAGTATCACTGAGCTGTAGCCTTTTTGGGTCATGCGACACACTTGGTGAAAACATATCTCCAATATTCATTTTATGTTTTATATGTTGTTTTATATTTGAAAAAATGTAAATAATCAAATTGTATCATTTTATTCATTAATTTACGTGTGTTAAATGGCTCAAATAAAGTGTTTATCTATCTATCTATCTATATATATATATATATATATATATATATATATATATATATATATATATATATAAAATCATGATTAATACCATAGCTACTTTGCCCAAAAGATAAGTTTGGCAATCCAAAGAGGCAATGCCGCCAGTATCTTGGGTACGCTGCCTCGGTGTGGTGCGTTGGGAGATTACTTATAATTAGTATTAGTATTTAAGGAATTGTATATTAACTTTAATTTATTGATTTACTAGACAAACATAAAATCGTGTGCCTTGGCATAGAATAGGCCATCCCTTCTTTTCTGTGGGTGTCGTAAGAGGTGACTAAAGAGATGGAGAGAGATGGGCAGCAGCATCCCTCTTAAAACATCTCTAAAAATCAAACCGCCTGTCAAGCGTGGCAACTAGTGGCAAAACTCCCCTTACGGGGAAAGCTTATGTTCAGCAGTCGATAGACAAAGACAAAAGCAGAAGTCTAATTTGCTTAAAAAAAAAACTATAGTATAAAATGCAGCGCACCGCTCGGCCTCGTGCAGGATGTCGGCGGCGGCGCGGCTGCCGGCCGCCAGCCCGCCGTCGGCGAGGCGCTTCACGAACGCGTAGAACAGGTCCATGCGCTGCTTCTCGTTCTTCTCGCTGTCCTCCGACAGCGTCATGCTCTTGGCGCCCTCCGTCAAATCTGATATTAATCAAATTCTAATTATTTCACTTAAAGCTAACAGGTTCTCTGTTCGGTGATATTTCTTTTAATAATAATAATAATAAATTTATTGCCATTCTTTACAAATATGGTACAGAAGTTATAATGTACATATATTAATAAATAAATAAATACGTTGTGCAATACCCGTATGCCTGGAAATAGGTACAAACTCAGCTTTTCCTGGATTGATGTGCGTTCGGCACTGATTTTCAGTTTGCACCTACACAGGGCACCGTTTGATATTGTTTTTTTTTTTTTTTTATAACAAAATTCTTATTTTATCAAAATCGGCTGGTTTTAATATATTTGAATTAGTTTTTTTTAGAACACAATCTTAAATTGTATGAATAAGATAATATGGTTTTTAAAACATATAATTCTTAATATGATAGCTATATATACATAGATTATATAGAAAAAGTGTCTTCATATAATTGCTTCGAGAAATATGGATCAACTTTTCATACAATTTTGTGTGATAAATAGTTATGAGTGATTCCTTTATAACTTCTATATTTATTTTATATTATAAACTCTTCACCTTTTTATTACGTGTAAAAACTCATTTTATATATTAAATAATTAAATATAAATACGTCAAGACACATTATGTATGTAATTTTTTTTTATACAACTTAGAATGGCAAACAAGCTGATGGTCCACCTAATGGAAAGTGGAAACCGTCGCCTATAGACATGAGCAGTACCATGGACATAACAGAGTATACTGTTTCACCCCATGCGTTGCCATTCCTGAGGATTCAGATGTTATTCCTCTGTACCCAGTAAATTCACGCCATATCGCACCCTTCAAACCGAAACACAGCCATGCAAACACAACTGCTTCACGGTAGAAACACGAATGGGACAGAGGTACCCAAGCAATCGACTTTTATACAAAGTCTCCCTCTGACAAAAATAAAAGAACGAGTCAATTTGACAATTAGCTAACTAAAAGTTGACCCGTTTTTGAGGCTCAATGCTCTATCTATATAATATAAAAAATATATGCAAAATGGGAATTTAGCGTACTGTTTGTCGCTTTCGATAATTGTAAATTCGAGCACAGTGTGTTCGTTAAATTCCCGTTATGCATGTATATAGTATAGTAGATGTGTCATTAGCGTGCTTGTTGCGCGCGTACAGACCTTGCATACGCGCTCGTACTGCGGCCTCGCTGACGTCTACAGTCCAGTTGCCGTCGTCGTCGTCGTCCGACTCCCGCTTCTCCTTCTCCTTCTTGCTGCTCTTCACATTCGGCGTCGTCGGCGTTATGGGTGGCTCGCTGTCCTGCTGTAATTTAAACATATTTTATTAACTACACTGCCACCCAAACTTTTTTAATGGGTGAAAATGGAACGGTAACCCTACCTGTGCAAGGAGAGAATGAATTATTAGTAACTAGGGGCTAGCAATCCCATTGCTAGCAATATACCCAACACAATTCCTCCTATAAGCCATTATAATTAATTCCTATTGAATTCATCACATAGACTGACTGATCAGTTCCCATCGTTACCTATCACCATTCATTGGTGCCCCGACAGTGTATATCGATGGCGCAGGCGGGGTTTCCATTCAATTATCATCCATAAATAGCCTGCGCTATCGGTATGCCCTGGCGAGGCAACAGTATAAGATGATGCGTTAAGATAAAAGCAGGCCAGTTGGCCAATCGTAACGTATTCAACAAAGAATAATTACAATGTTTCCCAGAGGGAACCTTATGGATATTGACCTTATGGAAAAATTAATCATTGTTGCAAAGTAATGAAACAGCGATGTTGATACCGACAACATGATATGTTGATATTTTCAATTAACAATTCATAACAAACAAAAATGATCCTATAAACTTGATATAAATGGCAACATCAGATTTTTACAAAATAATATTTCAAGTATGGCAACTTTATTTTTTCTCTTCCGGTCAGACTTCTTTGCACTAATAAGGTCTCCTAGTAAAATTTATAAAAAAATTCAAGATTACTCTAATACCAAAAATAACAATGAAGAAAAATATAACAGCGCTACATTAGAAATTATTAAATATTTGCACTTATATTCCATAACTATCATATGTACTATTAAAAATATATATATATATATATATATATATATATATATATATATATATATATATATAATACTGAATCAGCTCTTGAAAAAAAGTAAAAGCGTTTACTTTTTAAAAGACCAGGAGCATACCTGCAAATCCTTTGATATTGTGGGTATTTATGGGCGGCGGTAGTCACTTACCATCAGGTGATCCGCATGCTCGTTGTGTTATAAAAAAAAAGCATAGTGGTACCTGCTTGTCGTTGTCTGCGTCGTGGTTGCCGTTGGCGGCGCCGGGCCCGGACCGCTTGGACCGCTTGCCGCGGTTGCCTTCCGTCAGCGACGAGCCCTGCACACATCGACTACTCAGTTAATAGTTCAACACAATTTATACGAACTTTAACCAAAGACTTTACACAAAAGTCGTTTAGATGAATTTCTTTCGTTTTCCCAGTCGAATGTGGAGAACTTTGTTCTTCACAGACTAAATATTTAGTTTAAACAGACTTGAAGATTAACTGTGATCCCAGAATAGAATATACCATCCCTTCTTTTCCTGCGGGTGTCGTAAGAGGGGACTAAAGGATGGCGAGGGATGGCAGCGTTCTATTGTCTCCAACACCACTTTCCATCAGGTGGGCCGTCAGCTTGTTTGCCATTCCTGAGGACTCAGGTGTTATTCCTCTGTACCCAGTAAATTTACGCCATATCCCACCCTTCAAACCGAAGCCGTTTCACAGCCATGCAAACATAACTGCTTCACGGTTGAAACACGAATGGGACAGAGGTACCCAAGCAATCGACTTTTGTACAAAGTTTCCCTACAAAGACGACTGGATTATATATAGTCATTTCATATAGTCGTACCTGCATGCTGGGATCAGCGGCCGGCGGGTTCTTGAGTATGAACGTGTTGAGCTTGTGGTTGAAGTCGAGCTGGCCATGGTAGCCGCACGCCTTGCAGCCCTGCGATATTGTGTTCCGCTTCGTCGACACGATCAGCTCCGTCTCAGGGTTGTCACACTCCGGGCACAGCACGAACTTGCGGATGAAGCTAGACAATACATATGTAATAATTTTATTTGTTCCTTAGTGACCCTAGTGTGGGATGTCTTATAATGGATAAAAATAGAATGGTAACCGCCTGCATTATCGGTATACACTGTTGAGGCACCAATTAGGGGATATACATGAGAATAAAAACTGGTCTGGCCCTCTAGACAAGCGGCAAGTGAAACCATCAACGGAATCGTTATCGGTAGCGACTTCATAAGACAGAATGAGATAACAACATTCAATGTCTCATTCTTTCTCATGGATAATGGTCAATATATGATCGCTAACAATGACAATTCCATCGATGGATTTGCATCACGCTCTAGACAACTAGAGGGTCTGTTAGTCCATCGTAACAAATTAGATAAGAATAAACCACGACGGTATCGAAGGGAATAACTTGGAAGTCGTACCTGATAGAGTGAACCTCAATACAAATTATAGATGAAAACGTTAACACAGTACCACAGTAAATTCATACTAAAAAAAATAGTATGTCCCTACAATAGTACTGAGGGCCTACCATGAAATGTTTTCCGAAATTTCGGATCCGAACAAAACAAAAATTTGATCCTAACTTTACATGATATGTGTTTGCCATTCCTGAGGACTCAGGTGTTATTCCTCTGTACTCAGTAAATTCACGCCATATCCCACCCTTCAAACCGAAACACGACCATGCGAACACAACTGCTTCACGGTTGAAATACGAATGGGACAGAGGTACCCAAGCAATCAATCGACTTTTGTAAAAAGTCTTCCTCTGGTAAATTATAATAATAAATAGAGAAAATCAAATCTATGAAGATAATATAGTATTGACAGTCACTTTATTTTAGGTTAATATATATATAATATTAAAGAGAAAAATATAAAAATAACCTTGTATATATATATATATATATATATATATATAAGTGATAACACAGCCTTACCCATCAAGCAAGTCCTGCAGTTTGGCGGAGTCGTGGCTACCGTTCACGATGAATCGTTCATTCTTAAAATCAAACTGCGTCTGAGCGCCAAGCTCGCAGCCGAAGTACTTAGTCGGATCTGGCAAATAAGGGAATGCAATAAATACATAAATAAAATAAATACAACATTATCATTCAGCAGAAAGGATACTCTGTACTATATAAATGTCATTTATCAAGGGGGAAAGGGATTGTTAGTAATGGAGACTGAGAATCCCATTGCTAGCAATATACCCAACTAGGTCGACCTCATCGCGGTTCCCCCTGAAAACTGTCATGGTTAATTCCTGATGAATTCATCATGATGGGCCAACTGGCCTGTTTTCATTCTCATCTATCACCCTTCACTGATGCTCCGCCAGCGTATCCCGTTAGCGCAGGCGGGGTTATCATACCATTTTCATCCATAAAAAAATTCATTAAAATATCCACTCGTGTTTTTACAATGAAACAATTGTTAAAACGACGATTTCCAGGGAAACCGCGCGGAGGTCGAACTGATAGGGTACATTGTTAGCAATGGAGCTTCTAAACTCCACTATTCGTTAGTAATGGGGTCTCCATTACTAACAATCTCTTCCTCCCTCCCCACTCAGACATGTTTTTACTCATAGCTAAAACTTCCCTTCTCATACTGGGGTGGGCAACAGATAATAAGGGAGTGGGCGACAGACAATGCATGGGGAAAGGGATAGTTAGTAATGGGGTCTAACTGGACCCATAGCTAGCAATACAACCTGTCGACTTCCACGTACCACCTGAAGACCATCATGGTTCATTCTAGTGGAATTCCATTTGCCAGTGCCTTTTCATCCTCACCTATCATTCCTCACTGGTGCCCCACCAGCGTATACAGCATATATGCGGCGATGCTGAGGGGGGGGGGGCACTGGACGATTCTGGAGTGGCCACCAGGCAATACTGAAGTGGGCACCGCACGATTATGGCATATTATTAGGGCACCAGCCATTTCTGAGAATAGCACCGCCCTCCCCTCCTTTAATAAACCTACGCAAACTGCCTTAAGAATGTACTCACATGTGGCGGGTCTGCCAAGCGCCTTGGCGACCTCGGGCATGTTGACGATGACGGTCTTGATGCCGTTGCCCTTGCCCTCGACCTTGGCGCAGATGCGCGGCATCTTGTAGCGGTAGAACGCGTCCGCTACATTGCGGTTCACGTTCACGGAACCCATGGCTGGCTCGGTCGGTACACTACTAAACCTAAATAATTATAATGGATGCCTTGATTATTCTTTTTCTTGACACTGGATCTGAAAAGAGAGAGATATATTTGTTTATTAATGAGATTCGACAAGTTTTTAGTAAATAAAGTATAAATAAAACCTAATAAAGAAGTACAATCCTTTGTAATATTATAAATGTGAAAGTGAGTTTGATTGTTAGATTATTAGTAATGGGGACTTGCAGCCCCATTGCTAGCAATATACATTATCAGGTCGACCTCCACGCACTTCCCTCTGGAAACCATCTTGGTAAATTCTTCATGAATTCGTCTCTATGGACCGACTGAACTGCTTTCACCATCAACTGTTATTCCTCACTGGTACCCCTTTGGGGGGTTTTGCCAGTAGTTGCCATGCTTGGCAGATGTGTTGGCAACCGTAGTTAAGCTTTGGTGATATTTAAGAGGAACATTATCATAATTTATTACATAATTAAGTTCCCTTAGTCGCCTCTTAGGACACTCACGGGAAAGGAAGACGTGGCCCAGTCTATGCCGAGCACCACACGGCAATATAATTCCATTATCACCTATTAAAAAAAAAACGTGCGCCGTCTTTCACTTTGTAGTGTAAGCGTTGACAGAAGCAATTCTATCTATAGGTCCCTTTGTATCTTATCTAGAGAGGTTGGCTCGTTAGTAATTAGCGGCAATGAACCAAAACCGGAATCGTAAACTCACCATCCGGCATTATCTCGGCAGGATTGTTCGATCAACAACATAATTGTTATTGGATGATATCATTGTCTAATTGGGTATTGTTAATGCAATTAGGCAGCTACTAAAAGGAGGATATAGTCAATTCGTTTTACTGAACTATAAGCGTTATCTTTCAAGTCCATATCACTGGTTATTTGCTTATAATTATTTTGTTTATTCTTCTCCGAGTGTTGGCAGTCATACACGTACTAATGGTAGCGGAATTAAACAAAATAATTCCAATCGATTAATTTATTTGTATTTTTTCAATTCTATTTTCTTTTTTAATTTTGTTTGTATGTACTCCAGCCGGGTTTATCATTCTAATTTCTAAAAAAAAAAAACCGGTCTTCGACAGTAGTGAGTAATTTATATTTCAGACGAGGATATTATTCCATTTTCAAATTTAAAAAGGCCCTGATAATAGTGAGTAGTGTGTTCTATAGACAGGTTTACTTTTATTTACATTCTATTTTTAAAATTACAAAAAAAGACAGCTGACAATACCGAACGGTATACATTCCAGATGGGGTAATGATTCCAATTTCAAAATTATTAACCGGGCTCTGCCAGTTGTGAGTAGCGTGTCCTCCGAACGGGGTTACAATTCCATTTTTAAATTTCAAAACAGTACGGCGTGTACTGACCGTGCGGTGGTGCGATGGTGCGGTGGTGCGGCGGTGCGGCGGTGCGATGGCGGCGCGGCGAGTGTGGGTGTGGAGCGGGTCTAGTCAGCGGGGCGGCATGCGGGCGGGCGGTCCCGCGCGGCGCGCCAGTCACGTCTGCCGCAGCGGCAGCAGCTTCCGGTGCCTGTTACTGCAACCAAACGTTCACATCACTCATTACTCATATAGGTCTCTACAAGACATGTCAACAAGTTTTTTTTGCCAGTTCAGAAACTAGTTTCAACTGAGAATAACTGCCCAGAAACTCTATTTTAACTCTCCTCAAACAAATACTAATTGAAAAGTTTATTACGACCAGTAGTATAGAAAAGTATTTACACAAGGTATATAATGAACACCAAAATAAACAACCGCGCCCAACCACTACAACCACAAGTTACTCGGTCACATGACCATCGTGAACAATTCTTGTTGATTTCGTCACGATGGGCTAACTGATCTGCTTCATCCTCATCTATCATCTCTCACTGGTGTCCCGTCGGTGTATATCGATAGCACGGGCGGGGTTACCATTCCATTATCACCCATAAAAAAAAAATGTTTTAAAAGTGTCTATTAAACTCTACGAACCATCTCCATTTAATCAAAGCTTTTTCATTTCGTTAACATTTAATTGATATCCAGAAGATTATCATCATCATCATATCAGCCTTTAACTGTCCAGTAATTGCCACGCTTGGTAGACGGATTAGCAACCGCAGTTAGGCTTTGGAGATGTTTTAAGAGGGACGCTGCTGCCCATCCCTCGCCCTCGAGAAGTCGTTTAATAAAAGACGCAATATGAAGCATGCGGCGGCGACATTTGGTGGTGGTGCGTACCTGCGAGCAGTGTTGTTAGGTATGTGAAGCGTCATGCACCCTCGACGGCAGCCGGCCGGTCCTCTTGTCGCAACGCACCGACTACTCTCCTCGCGCTGTACTGATGTCTCTGTACACAAACAAAACATAACGTCAATCAACATAATTATTTTATTATTTTATCCGTTAGCTGGCCAGCAGTGGACAGTTAACGGTAGTTGACAAACATAAGCCTTCCCAATGAGGGGAGCTGTGCCAGTACTTGCCACACTTGGCAGGCGGATTGGCAACCGCAGTTAGGCTTCTAGAGATGTTTTAAGAGGGACGCTGCTGCCCCTCCCTTGATCGCCTCTTACTACACCTACAATAAAGGAAGGGGTGGGCTATAGAGGCATATTTATGTTCTTTTTTTTTATACAACTTAGAATGGCAAACAAGCTGACGGTCCGCCTAATGAAAAGTGGTAACCGTCGCCTATAGACATGAGCAGTACCGTGGACATAACAGAGTATACTGTTTCGCCTATGATACCCCCCCCCCATGCGTTGCCATTCTTGAGGACTCAGGTGTTATTCCTCTGTACCCAGGTATACCTATACCTATATCTCTGATAAAATGCGTCCATTGCAATAAAACTGTTGGTTTACTAAAAAATATAATAATTGTTAATTTAGCATTGCACGTACTAGGTCAATGTATTACCACACCAGTTTTGTATTAATTTTCCATATTTGTATTTAGTATAAAAGATCATTTATTTTTCTTAATTTTGTCCGTTTTAGCCGAGCCATTGGGCATATACATTTCCACAAACCTCGTCGTCTCAATACAACCCGGAACATGGTCTATTATATTATGCCGAGGCACACACGGCAATCGACGTACTTTAAAAAAATAATAAAGAATTAATAATAAAGTAAGCAAAGGCGAACTTATCTCTAAAAGACATTTCTTCCAGTCAACCTAACACTATGGCATAGGAAGTAGTGAGTAGGCAGTAGTAGAGCCAAACAAAAAACTATACATACAAATCATTATATATATATATATATATATAATGATTTGTAATATTTGTCGTATATATATATATATATGAACATATATTATACCTCTCTCATTTAAGGTATTTTACCAATAGTTACTATGCTTGGTAGGCCTATCGGTAAGTGCAGTTAGCCTTTAATAATGATTTTGAGAGGGCTGTTGCCCATCCCTCGACATTAAGTTCCTTTAGTCACCTCTTACAACACCCACGAGAAAGGAAGGGGTGGCACATTGTATGGAACACATTTTGGGGTCACACGACATATGGCATGAAATTAAAGGGTAGAAAGATATAAGACGTCACAGTGTATGCTATGATGTCCACGTTGCTGTTCACAACTTTATTATAGAGGGTAAAAAACTATATGAATGAACATCTTATCATTTACAATTATCCGTAATAAAGTAAATACTAACTACCTACAAAGCGTGGTATCTATTGGCAAAATCCCCCAAACGGGATATATTCAGCAGCGGATAGTTAACGACTGAAATAGTCATGATGATGAGTATAGATTGGCCATTGCATTATCCATAAGGAACCCAGCAGCCGGCAACAGAATATAAATCGTAAGAACGACATAGAACGTAACACCTTTGCGTTTTTTTTTTGATGGGTGAAAATGGTATGGGTACCCCGCCTGCGCTAACGGGATGCGCTGGCGGAGCACCAGTGAAGGGTGATAGATGAGAATGAAAACAGGCCAGTTAGCCCATCATAATAATTTCGTCAGGAATTAACCATGATAGTTTCCAGGGAGAACCGCGAGAAGGTCGAACTGGTTGGGTATATTGTTAGCAATGGGATTCTCAGTCTCCATTAGTAACAATCCCTTTCCCCCCAACACGTTTGCGTTAAAAAGATATATATTTTTTTCAAATACCGAACAATTCGAATAATAAAAAAAAACAATCATTGTGAGAGGTATAATTAGTTAATACTAACAGATAACAGGCCGATGACGTCAATGGCACCGGTTTACCGCATGCTCGGGTTAACGAAGGAAGCTAAACCTATTCGTATGTAGGAATCCCTGTTGACATATTATCGCGAATTCAAAACTTCACTACGCGAGGTTGTGAGAGTCCTTGAATGAGCGGTTTACGATTGGCCGGCCGATCGTAACTGCATATACGATAATACTGTAAAACTATGTACTTACAATCACGATTATATGAAATTGTTCGACGGCAGACCATCAATCCGATGGACCAATGTCAATGGTAATAACGAGGAAGCAGTGAGGTTTTTTTTTTAATGGACGAGAATGGAATGGAAACTCGGTCTGCCCAGGGGGAAAGGGATTGTTAATAATGGAGACTAAAAATCCCATTGCTAGCAATATACCCAACCAGGTCGACCTCCTCGCGGTTCCCCCTGGAAATTATCATGGTTAATTCCCGATGAATTCATCGTGATGGGCTAACTGGTCTGTTTTCATTCTCATCGATCACCCTTCATTGGTGCTCCGCCAGCATATCCCGTTAGCGCAGGCGGAGTTAACAATCCATTTTCATCTAATAAAAAAATAAAAAACTCGGTCTGCCCTCTATCGGTATACGCTGGCAGGGTACAAGTAAGAGATGATAGGTGAGGATGAAAGCAGATAAGTATAGCTATTGTGACGAAAGAGGCGACTAAGGGAGCTTATTGGTAGAAGTATGGGCGGTTGACAACTCGCCTACCAAACGTGGCAACTATTAGCAAAACTCTTCAATATGAGAAGACCTATGTTCAACAGTGGACAGTTAATGGCTGATACAATGATGATTTGAGATACGAAGGTGAATGTATTAATTAAACCATGACAGATCGCCATCCACACACTTCTTTTTGCTAACGTGGTTTATTCCTGGTGAATTGGTTACGATGGGACAACTGAGCTGAGGTCATCCTCACCTATCATCCCGAACTGGTACACCGCCAGCGTATAACAATAGCGCAGACAGAGTTAACATTTTCAGCGATAAAAAAAAAACACATTTCTTTAGAAAAATTAAAAAAAAAATGCGTGGCATTAAATGCAAAAATACTACTATTACTGACCCGAATTATGTTATGTCATACATTTGTATCGGATGAATTCACGAATTCATTCAACACACATATTTATATGTACTTATTTATATTAGTTGCAAAACATCGGAAGTAGCAAGTTTATATTTCACAGCGACCGAAATAACGGTACATAGCAAGTTTGTTACGTCACACCCCGATGGGTGCTGGTAATTATATAAATGTAGTTTTTACCCGCGACTGCGTCCGCTTGACCTGTCAATCAATATGGCAGTGATAAAAATTGACTTATACACGATTCTGACTCTAATCCTTGTCTATTATTATATTAAATATATCGTTAAGTCGTAGAATACTGACGGATCTTTATATGTAATCTTTGTCAGATCCGTCAGTATTCTACGACAATGACGATATATTACTTTAGTATGTGTCAGTAAGTAAATTTTTTTTTATACAACTTAAAATGGCAAACAAGCTGACAGCCCACCTGATGGAAAGTGGTAACCGTCGCCTATAGACATGAGCAGTACCGTGGACGTAACAGAGTATACTGTTTCGCCCATGATACCCCCCCCCCCCCCATGTGTTGCCATATAAGATATAATACGTATATTCACATTATACGTATTATATAATATCTTATATGTATTTAAAAAAAAAGAACAGAGTTTTGTACGGAGGTACGAAACTCTGTTCTTTTTTTTTTTTGACTGGAGAGTCAAACAGTTTATAATTACTCTCTATCCAAAAGTTGCCTGGAAGAGATCGCTCTTAGCGATAAATCCGTCCATTGTTTTCTCAGTGTAATATTTTCTTGTAATTGTTTGTATCTATAATTAGTTTACTATTGTAATCTTTTGTAGGAAACAATAAAGAGTATTTGCCTATCTATCTATGTATTTTATGTATATAGCAATTCCATAACAATTAGTTGAGCCATTAAAGCGTCTAGAGTGTAATAAACTAGCTAACTTTCATAATTATTACGATAATTTAAGGTTATGTTTAGCCATTTATGGAAAAAAAGAAGATAAACTTGGAATCAAATCTTTGAATCCCTTGTAAATCACTATCAATTGCAAAAAAATGTAAATCGATTTAGAATTTACGTAATATACACACACAAAAAAAAGAAACAAAATAAGAGTCTCCTATTTTTAGAAGAAGTACAGAATTAATGGAGTTGACTATATAGTTATAGTTATTAATTCCATGAGTAGAATGAGATGTCGACGTCCGCTGTCTTACACCTTCCCACATAATCGCTAAGTGAAACGTTTCTATCGACAAATTGGTTTGCCACTTGTTTAGGGAGACTGTATATCTAACCCATAAACGAGTAATTTAAAATTTAGTCCCACACAAATAAAAACACTAACTTCAATTGTGTCAAATGAGTTATTTTAATAAAAAAAAAAAACGAAACTACTGACGGGATTTTGATAAAATTACTTATATCTCTGCGTGTTCTACCGCCTGTACAATGGATTGTGCTCAGACGAATTGTTCAATATGACGCCCACAGCCATTTTCTACCATCGTACGGCTCGCCATCGACAGGGAGTTCATCCTCATGTCTTACAGCCTCAATGGTTACGTACTGCGCGGTTTCAGAGATGTTTCCTCCCACGAACACACAGGTTGTGGAATGAGCTCCCTGCCGAGATTTTCCCAAGAGACTACAGCATGGGGTTCTTCAAAAGGGGGGTAAAGAGGTTTCTTCAGGGTCGGCAACGCACGCGTAATACCTCTGGTATTGCAGGTGTACATAGGCTACGGTAACCACTTACCATCAGGTGGGCCGTATGCTTGTTTGCCACCTCATTGGTATAAAAAAAATCCTTTCAGATAAAAAAATTATCCAAAATCAGTTTTTTTTTATCAAAGATAACATAAAAAAAATTAAATTAAAAACCTCTTTCTTTTTCGAAAATGACACACAAACAAAATTAGTGGATGTGACAAATGTGTACTTTAAATTTATGACAGCCATATTTATTTTACACTATTTATATATTTATATGGTAGCTCTCGCATAATGAAACTAATAATACCTTAATCCTATT